CGAGGCTGGTCTCAAACTCCTGGCCTCAAGTACTCCTCCTGCCTCGGCCTCCCAAAGTGCTGCGATCACAGGCTTGAGTCACTGCCAAGATTTCTTACGCCCTTGGACAGCCCCCTTCCTGGAAAAGCTAGACGGATACCCCAACACTCTTTTCGTAGCTCATGGATGAGAAATACATGTCACATTGCAACCCCAAGAACACGCTGTCCCCCTGTAGGCTGCATTCTGGCTCTGGGTTTGTTTTGTTTTTTCATTCTTGGACGGTTTTTTGGGGTTTTTTTGTAAATGACCATCTTGACCTGCTAATTGATATCACCACCCACCAGGGTGTTATGATCTACAGGTTGGGAAACCCCTGTTGTGGGACAGGCACTGTTTCCGCCTCTCCACGCATCGTCCCGAGATGCTGGGGACAGCACTCCGAGGCTAATGGCTCCAGCTCACTAGGCCAATCTTGCCGTGCCCCTGAGCCACTCCCTTTCCTGCACCTCCCAGGACCACCCCTCCCTGAACGGCTTTGCCTGAGCCCCTTACTCCCCTCACTCCCTCTTGGCAGATCCTTGGCCTGTTCATTTGCAGAGAAGATAGAAATGGCCACACTTCTGACCCCTTAGTTCCCCCACTCCTCCCTACAGGCTCACCCCTGAAGACACCGAACCCACCCTGCCTCCTCCCGTCTGTCCCAGAGGGACCAGACACAGGTCCCTGAGCCTTGGGGAGTCCACAGGCTCCCCATCTTCTCCTTACTGCTTCCCAGCCCACATCTCAGCCCTTTCCCATGGCAGGGGCTCCCTGCAGATGATGCCACTTTCCTTGTCCCTGCAGCTGCCTGTGGCGGATTTCTCACCAAGCTCAACGGCTCCATCACCAGCCCAGGCTGGCCCAAGGAGTACCCCCCCAACAAGAACTGCATCTGGCAGCTGGTGGCCCCCACTCAGTACCGCATCTCCCTGCAGTTTGACTTCTTCGAGACAGAGGGCAATGATGTAAGTGCCCACCGGGGGCTGAGGTGGGGCAGGAAGCTGTGAGGCGTGGGCGTTCAGCTCGATGCCTACTTCGTGTCCTCCGAGAGCAGGCCCAGCAGAAACACTCTGCAAATGTCAAGGAGAGACTGCTCTCAGCTCGGGAAACACAGGAGGGAGGGCCCCGAAGGGGGTGGGGGAACATGTGGCAAGTGGGAGGAAGTGTGGAGGGGTGTGGAGCAAGGGAAGGCTTAGGGCTGGCTTGGGGAGCACAGGAGGATCCAGTGATGGGGAGCAGCTAAGTCAAGGCTAAAGGATGTGCAGAGCAGAGAGCTTCCCAAGGGCGGGAGTAGTCAAGAGAGGCTTCCTGGAGGAAGCGGGCCTGGAGCTGGGCTTCCCTGCAGGTGTGCAAGTATGACTTCGTGGAGGTGCGCAGTGGACTCACAGCCGACTCCAAGCTGCATGGCAAGTTCTGTGGTTCTGAGAAGCCCGAGGTCATCACCTCCCAGTACAACAACATGCGCGTGGAGTTCAAGTCCGACAACACCGTGTCCAAAAAAGGCTTCAAGGCCCACTTCTTCTCAGGTATCCCCGGACTGCCCAGCTCCTAGCCCCGCCTCTCCTCGGAGAACAGGGCTCCCTTTCTCCCTGCCCCTGCACCCCTGTACTCCCCAGCCCTCCCTGGTGCCAGGCAGGCAGAGTCTGCCCCCTGCTCTCCACCACTTCACTCCCCCATCAAGCCAGCCCTTCTGGTATCCAAATTCCATTATTCCTGAGCCCTCAGGGTTGTAATGGCTGGGGCCTGAGGATGGGTAGAACATAAGCATTCAGAAATCAGCGCCCAGAAGTGAAGAAGAGGGTATTCCAGGTGTCAGGAGCTGTGCGAGCCAAGGCCTGGGAGAGGGCAGGTCCTAGGAACAGGCAGTTCAAGAACGTGGGTGGATGGAGGAGAGGCAGGTGTTTGCCTTGGACTGTGTGGGGCAGAGTTTCTGGCAGTGGCGGGCTTCTAATCAGACCCTCTACAAGCCAAATAGGTTCATACTGGGGCCTTCAGAAAGATGAGTCGTGGCTGGGTGCAGTGGCTCACGCCTGTAATCCGAGCACTCAGGGAGGCTGAGGTGGGAGGATCACTTGAGCCCAGGAGTTCAAGACCAGCCTAGATGACATAGCAAGACCCCATCTCTATAAAAAATTTTAAAATTGGCAGGGTGTAGTCATGTGTGTCTGTAGTCCCATCTACTTAGGAGGCTGAGATAGGAGGATTGCTTGAGCCCAGGAGTTTGAGGCGCAGTGAACAATGATCTCATCACTCACTCCAGACCCTGTTTCTAAAAATTTTTTTAAAAAGGAGAAGGATGAGTCACCTGCTTCCTTCAATACCAAAGCCTTAGGGCTCCCCTGGGCCGGTGGGCAGGAACTCAGATCCAATTAGCACATGTTGATTGACAGCTGCCCCACCTAAGGCCTGGGCTCCAGTCCCTTGGCCTCATTTGGGCCTTTGATGGCCCCATCTTCGGGTAGTCTCAATGGTGATCAGCAGCCCCTGGCCCAGCCTCTCTGAGCTGATCCTCTGGGTCCAGGAGATCTCCTCTTCTTTGTGAATCACTCAGCCCTTCACCCTGGGGCGAGGCTGTAAGGCAGCTGGTGGTCCCCAGAGGTAACAGGGCCCAGGCCCATGCAGTGAAGGGCATGAGTGGAGTGGAGCCGGGGAGAGAGGGAGGTCAGGGTCTGGCTGGAGCAGGCCCATGGATCCTCACTCCCGGCCTGCCTGCTGGGCTGGACAGGGAATAGGCAGGAAGGCAGGTGCCCACGGCCGAGTCCATGCTGCCTTCCTTCTCCCCTCCTTCGCCCAGGGTCCTGCATCCTCCGCCCCCTCTCTGGCTGCCCTGCACCCCTGCCTGACCCCTGGATGCCATGCCCCTGCCCCTGCACTGGCTCCCTGCTTGGCACTGCCAGCCACCCTGCTCTGCCCGTTGACCTCCTACCCCTAGCCCCTGCTTGCTGAGACCCTCCCCATGCCAGGCCAATTTCTTCCTTCCCTGTGCCCACCTGGGACTCCTAAGAGGTGCTCGCCAGAGGGTTGAGAGGATGTAACACCTGCTCAGGGGCAGGCTCGGCCCCGGGAAACCATTACCTGCTTACTCTCGTCTCTTTCTGCCCTTCTGTTGCTCCAGTCTTGGAGGGGGCAGGGGACCGACACTCACATCTGTCAGGCCTGGAGTTACGGCTCTGCCCCCATGCCCCGGTCGACACTATGCCCGCCCCACCCTCAGCCCTGCACAGAGACACACACACCCACACGCACACACGTGTGCACACACATTGCCCCATCGCACAAGAAACCTGCAGAGGACCCCCACTGGGGGCATCGAGGCTCAGCCCTCAGGGCCTGGGGCATCTGACTCTGGCCCCCGAGAAGGGGGGCTATTTGGACTTTTGGGACACCCACCGAGGAGACCCTAAGCCAAGAAGGAGAAGAAAGAGCCTGAAGACCTTCAGTCTGACCCCTGCCACCTTCCGGGGCATTTGGGCACTGTAGGGTGAGTGCCACCTCCTTGCTTGGGCCCATGCCCACCTCCTCCACCCCACCCCCCTGCAACCTGCTCCCCCCAGCTCCCAGGTGAGGCTGCCCACTCCTGCCCCGGACACGGAAGCAGCCTTCCTCAGGACTCACTTTCCCCCACTCATTCATCCAGCCATTCACTTACCCGTCTATTTGCATTTGGCAGGTATAATTTTACCCGTGCTGTGTACCAGGCACTGGACTAGGTTTCTAGGGCACACATGTGAGGAAGGGATGGAGTGAAGACTTTGCTCAGTGTATAAGCTAGACCACCCAAAGCTTCTAGCACAGTCACTGGAGATGTCCTCAGTGAACCCCAGGATGGCTTGCAGGGTGCCCTTCACCCCCACATTTTCTGCAGGGCTGATTCAAAGGCAGCTCATGGAGGGCTCTTGATCAGGCCCCCTCTGATGTGTTAACTGAGCAAGAACCTTTGAGAAGGACTTGGGGACTCCACCTCTCGGCCTGGGTTCCTGTGGCCCCTCGGGGTCTAGCCTACCTGGTCATGGGTTGGAGAAGCAGGGCCTTCTGGAAGCCGATGTTCCAGCCCTTGGGCCCCCGTCCTGATGGGGATCAGGAATAGGCCCCCTTGCACAGATCCCCGCCTGGCCAGTTCAATGCCAGCAGGCATCTTTCCACCTCATGGTTCATCTCGGGAATTCTGGGAGTCCACTGGGATCCCTCACCTTCCCTGGATATGCCTGCTTCTATGCCATGCACACCATCCCCCAAGTGACCACAGATAGACCTGAATGTATGTGGCTGTGGCACACACACCCGTGACCATGTGCACTTCTGGGCTTTGGGGCACAGATTGTGTGTTTGTCGCGTGAGTGTATGTGTGGGTCTCTGACACGTGGCCGTTGCCCCTCTGCCAGCCATCTGCTAATGAGCTACATCTCTGCCTTTACACGTGATGTTGTATCCAGGTCTAGGTGTCCATGCACCTGTGTGTGCAGATGTGTCCTGTCCCTGGGTGTGTCTGTGCCTGTCTGTGCGTTGATATCTGTGCCTGCCTCCTCACACATAGGTGGGAGTGCAGAGTGTGTATCCTCTGTATGCACCTGTACACAGGCTAGGCGGGCAAGTGAGGATGTGTGTGTAGTTGGCTGTGTCTGTATCTGCATTTGCATGGTGTATTGGAGCTGTGTGTCTGTGCGTGTGTGGGTAGTGTGTACCGTGTGCATATGTATGTGTGTGCCTGTGGACCAGCACCTGTGTTGCCACATTTGGGTAACAGTACCTCCATGCACTGGGTCTGCAGGTGTATTTGTGTGTGTGTGTGTGTGTGTCTAACACACTCTGTAGATGTTGCCACCTGAATGAGAGCCAGAGTGGAGCTCTCCCAGCCCTTCCCAAGTACTGCTCCCCTCTACCGACGACTCCCCAGTTCTCTCCTTCCCTGATGCAATGCACACCTAGTGGGCTATGCGTGCCATCCCTCCAGGCCTTCTCCTGCCACAGGCTCTGTCTCTGTCCCGTCGCTGTGCCTTCTGCCCCTGCTAACCCAGCCCTCCGTGCCCTGGCTGCGCCCAGACATGGCCACCCCGCATGTATGTCCACCTGCCCTCCCGTCCCACCCTGCCCTCGGACCCATCTCGGAGGCCCTGGGTCTGGTTTTCACTGCTGTCCCTCCCTGGTCCCTGCCCTCCACCCCCACCCCTTGGTCCCTGTTCTCCTTCTCTCTCTCGTTTCAGAAAAGAGGCCAGCTCTGCAGCCCCCTCGGGGACGCCCCCACCAGCTCAAATTCCGAGTGCAGAAAAGAAACCGGACCCCCCAGTGAGGCCTGCCAGGCCTCCCGGACCCCTTGTTACTCAGGAACCTCACCTTGGACGGAATGGGATGGGGGCTTTGGTGCCCACCCACCCCCCGCCTCCACTCTGCCATTCCGGCCCACCTCCCTCTGGCCGGACAGAACTGGTGCTCTCTTCTCCCCACTGTGCCCGTCCGCGGACCGGGGACCCTTCCCCGTGCCCTACCCCCTCCCATTTTGATGGTGTCTGTGACATTTCCTGTTGTGAAGTAAAAGAGGGACCCCTGCGTCCTGCTCCTTTCTCTTGCAGTCTGCTTGTCCATGTGTCTGTTTTTCCACTTGTCCATCTGTCCAGTAAGCAGGTAATGGTGACCCATGCTGGTCCGCTCGGACCCCCGTCCTCCTCTCCCCACAGCTGGGCCCCGCTCAGCTGGTCCTGCTGGACGCAGTGCCCCTTTGGACCCCCTTGTCACCTGGCCTCCCAGTCCCCACCACCTGGCCTGGCCAGCTCTGGCCAGCTGTTGCTCTGTCCCGGTGGGAGAAAGCCCAGCCAGGCCTCCACTTCCCCTGGGGCGTCCATACCTCAGCCCTGCACAGACCCAGCGTCTGCCCTTATTTGCTCCCCTGCAGACAAGGACGAGTGCTCCAAGGATAACGGCGGCTGCCAGCAGGACTGTGTCAACACGTTCGGCAGTTATGAGTGCCAGTGCCGCAGTGGCTTCGTCCTCCATGACAACAAGCACGACTGCAAAGAAGGTACGGGCTGCATGCCAGGGGCGTCTGGGCTTGAAGGACCTGCTGCTGGGAGCGGAAGGCCAGCGGGTCATCTCTGTCGGCCTCCGTTTAGATTCTGGGGCCCGAGTGATCTCTGAGGCCCCGTCGTTCCCCCTCCCGCAATGTCACACACTCACTTCTGCTGCCCACATTAGGAGAGGAGGAGCTCACGGCTGCTTCGAGGCTTCATTTTCAGACTTTTCTAGTTTGCGCTTCTTAAAACCATGTCCAAGTGTCTTTGTGACTTCCTACTGGCACAGAGGCAAGAAAGGATAGTGGGTAAGAGCACAGTCTCCAGAGCCAGGTGGCCTGGCCCAGCCCTGCTGCTTCGCTAGCTGTGTGCCTTTGAGTGACTCTTTACCCTCTCTGTGCCTTGGTTTGCTCCTGCGTAAAATGTAGATAATAATAATAGTACCCACCTCAGAGGGGCATTGGGAGCTTGACATGCCCCAAGCAGGGCCTGGCTCACTGCAAGCACAATGGCATCTGTTACCATTATCGGTCACACTTATAACCCCTGGGGATGCTCAGAACAGGGCCACTGCTTTCCTGGCAGTGAAGCCCCGCACACATTTAAAAATAGCTCTAGGCTGGGCTCGGTGGCTCATGCCTGTAATCCCAGCACTTTGGGAGGCCGAGGCAGGAGGATTGCTTGAGCTCAGGCATTCAAGACCAGCCTAGGCAACATAGTGAGACCCTGTCTCTATTTTATTTTTAAACAGGTTTTTAAACTAAAAATAAAGTAAAATAGGCCGGCGCAGTGATTCACACCTGTCATCCCAGTACTTTGGGAGGCTGAGGCAGGCAGGTTGCTTCAGCCCAGGAGTTAAAGACCAACCTGGGCAACATGGCGAAACCCCATCTCTGCAATAAATACAAAAAATTAGCTAGGTGTAGTGGTGCACGCCTATAGTCCCAGCTACCCTGAAGGCTGAGGTGGGAGAATCACCTGAGTCTGGGGAGGTTGAGGCTGCATGAGCCGAGATCACACCACTGCACTCCAACCTGGGTGACAGAGTGGGAAAAAGCAAATAAAAATATAAATAAATAAATAAAGCAAAATAAAAACAGCTCTCAGGGCATCACCAGTATCCCCTAATACCTCCTGGACCTTGGTACCTCACAGGCCCACTCTAAGTCAGGGATTCCCCTGTGGCCCTTGCCTGCTGGGTGTGTCCAATCCCAGCAGCACAACATAGACTTGCCTCTACCACTGAATGTCTGTGTGACTTTGGGTGGGTCACTCAACCTCTCTGTGTTTCAGTTTCCTCATCCATGAAATGATAAAAAAATGATAGGCCAGGCGCAGTGGCTCACGCCTGTAATCCCAGTACTTTGGGAGGCCAAGGTGGGCAGATCACTTGAGGTCAGGAGTTCAAGACCAGCTTGACCAACATGATGAAACCCTGTCTCTACTAAAAATACAAAAAATTGGCCAGGCCTGGTGGCACGCATCTGTAATCCCAGCTACTCAGGAGGCTGAGGCAGAAGAATTGCTTGAACCTGGAAGGCGGAGGTTGCAGTGAGCCAAGATCATGCCATTGCACTCCAGCCTGGGCAACAGAGCAAGACTCCATTTCAAAAACTAAAAAATAATAAAAATGATGCCTACCTTGCAAGGTACTAAGCTTTATAGACATGGCTGTGAGCCCTTAGCACCATGCTTGGCAAGTGATTCTTCCTACCCCGGTTAGGTTGACAACCCAGTATAAACAGATGCGCTGCTCACAAGCAGACACAGAACTGAAGCCCTCAACAGTGAACCAGTGGACAGTCGAGGGCTTCCAACCCTGTGACTTCAGGCTTCCCAAATACACAGTTCCTGAGTCATGGAACTAGCTAGAGGGGACCTTATACTGATGTTGTCTAAACTACATTCTGCCTCTGTACTCCCTTGTGTCAAAAGGTTGTTTGATAAAGAATAGAATCCATAAGATAGCCAGGACAGGGGTGAAGCTCCTGGAGAAGATGGACTGTTTACCTTTCCATCTGCTGATTCACCTTAGAAGCACGTGTGGTTTCTTACTCAGGTGGTAGGTTAATTACAGATCCGTAAGCATTTCCTGATTCCTACAGAGGACCCAGCACTTTGCAAAGATCTGTAGGGAATTCAAGACAGAAGCCCCTCTGTTCCCATGGAGATTGCAGCCTAGCTGGGGAGAGACATGGGCGTGCAAGGAACACAGGGGGCATGGAAGGCCAGAGCGCAAAGAGGGAGGGCAGGGAGCTGTGTGAACTCACCGATGGGTAATGGTGACAGCTCATGGTTCAAGTGTGGGTAGACAGGAGCTTCACCTGCCTCTACCAGGGACTTACGAGGGCCCTGTTTTCGGGGCTCTCGTGCTGTATCTTGCCCATCCTTTTCCCCACCAGCCATAGTGCCTGGCCGCCTGTTTCCCTGAGTGAAACATGTCCGATGATATGATCATGAATAATGATCATCAGCTTTTTAATTTGAGTTGGGGCCGGGCGTGGTGGCTCATGCCTATAATCCCAGCACTTTGGGAAGCTGAAGGGGGCGGATTGCCTGAGCTCAGGAGCTCAAGACCAGCCTGGGCAACATGGCAAGCCTGTAGTCCCAGCTGCTTGGGAGGCTGAGGTGCAAGAATTGCTTGAACCTGGGAGGTGGAGGTTGCAGTGAGCCAGGATTGCGCCACTTCACTCCAGCCTGGGCAACACAGCAAGACCCTGTCCACCCCCGGCTACCAAAAAAAAAAAAAAAAAAAATTGAGTCGGGGAAGCCATGCTTTTTTTTTTTTTTTGAGACGGAGTCTTGCTCTGTCGCCCAGGCTGGAGTGCAGTGGTGGGATCTCGGCTCACTGCAAGCTCCGCCTCCCGGGTTTACGCCATTCTCCTGCCTCAGCCTCCCGAGTAGCTGGGACTACAGGCGCCCGCCACCTCGCCCGGCTAGTTTTTTGTATTTTTTAGTAGAGATGGGGTTTCACCGTGTTAGCCAGGATGGTCTCGATCTCCTGATCTCGTGATCCACCCGCCTCGGCCTCCCAAAGTGCTGGGATTACAGGCTTGAGCCACCGCGCCCGGCCGAAGCCATGCTTTTCAGAGGCAGAAGTCAGATTGCCGTGGATTGAGGAGATCGGCAGTGAGAGTGGCCATAGCAAGTGTTCCGGAAGACAAGCTGGAAAGAAAAGGAGAGAGGATGGGCTGTAGCTGGAGGGGCCTGGGAGAGCTCTTTCAGGATGTGTGAAGGTTCTGAGGCTGCAGAGCTGAGGGAGAGCGTGAGGCTGGATCATTTGTGGTGTGAGGGTTCCCAGGTGTGGGCAGCAATGAGCTGCGGCTCCCAGAAGGGCAGTCCGTCCTGACGGGGAGGAGGGACACTTGAGGCTGCAGGGCAGCAGGGCAGGTGGGTTTGCAGATCGGAGTCCGGAGGTTGAAAGCATTCATAGTGGAGGGCCCTGGCTTTCTCAGGAGGTAGGAGAGAGGTGGTCTACCACTGGGAGCTGACACAGTGGCTTGAGGAGGGGGCTGGATGTTGGCAGCAGTTACTAAGGAGGTGAGAGATGGAGCTGGTAAAAGCCAAATCCAAAGAGTGTCAAGTGGTCTGGGGGCCCAGGTGAGGCTGGAGCCACAGGTGGGGTTTTCTAAGATGATGCTGCGCAGAGCCGGAGATGCAGGGCCACGCAGGGTGCAGAGGAGCAGGCTGAGTGGTCAGCCCTGCAGTCAGTTAAGTCAATTGAGGAGGAAACACTGGGAGAGAATAGAAAGATCAAGACCCTGGAGGTCTCTCTAAAACTAAGAGGCCAGCCGGGCACAGTGGCTCATGCCTGTGACCCTAGCACTTTGGGAAGCTGAGGCAGGAGGATCGCTTGACACCAGGAGTTTGAGATCAGCGTGGGCAACATAGTGAGACCCCATCTCTACAAAAACTAAAAATGAAAAAAATTACCCAGGTGGCATGCCTGTAGTCCCAGCTACTCGGGAGGCTGAGGCAGGAGGATCACTCGAGCCTGGGAGCTCAAGGCTATGGTGAGCTATGATTGCACCACTGCACTCCAGCCTGGGTAGCAAAGTGAGAACCGGTTTTTGTTTTTGTTTTTTAATTTTAATGAAGCCGAATGACCATGGTCAGGAAGGTGAGGTCCTGAGCACCCCAAGGAATAGGAAGTGGCCACAGAGGGGTGATGTGTTTGTGATGTGGAGAAACAGTGGATGATGACAAAGCCCTCAAGGAACTGAGAGGCCGTCTTGGGTGGACCATTATGTGTCTGTTGACTTCACCTGGGAGGGTAGCAGGAGTGGGGGTGGGGAGAACTGAGTCAGGTGTCAAAGTCCCCTGTGACTGTCCAGGCTGCTGGAGATCAGTGGATGACAGCTTCAAGAAGGGGCACAGGTCAGCCGGGTGCAGTGGCTCATGCCTGTAATCCCAGCACTTTGGAAGGCCTAGGCAGGCGGATCACTTGAGGCCAGGAGTTCAAGACCAGCCTGGCCAACATGGTGAAACCCTGTCTCTACTAAAAATACAAAAATTAGCCAGGTACAGTGGCTCACGCCTGTAATCCGAGCACTTTGGGAGGCCAAGGTGGGCAGATCACCTGAGGTGGTGAGACCAGCCTGGCCAACATGGCAAAACCCCATCTCTACTAAAAATACAAAATTTAGCCAGGCATGGTGGCACACGCCTGTAATCCAAGATACTGAGGAGGCTAAGGCAGGAGAATCGCTTAAACCTGGGAGGTAGAGGTTGCAGTGAGCAGAGATCACACCACTGCATTCCAGCCTGGGCAACAGAGTGAGACTCCATCTCGAAAAAAAAAAAGAAAGAAAGAAAAGAAAAATGGAGAGGCACAGGTGATGTGACCACTGTGGCCCAATACCTACAAAGGTCCAGGGGAGCCTGCGATGGCTGCTTCATGAGTGCTGCTGTGTGAGGCCTCCCTCAAGGCTCTCGTAGGAATCAGGTAGCTAGATTTTCCCCAGACACAGATAACCTCATGAAAAAGAAATGATGCCTGCCTGCCATCCCGTTCATAAGTGGGACAAGAGATGGAAGGAAGGAGGGGGGCAGGAGGCATTGGAGCTTGGGGTCCCTCTCTATCCCCTTCCGTCACTCGCTTCCCTGCAGCCGGCTGTGACCACAAGGTGACATCCACCAGTGGTACCATCACCAGCCCCAACTGGCCTGACAAGTATCCCAGCAAGAAGGAGTGCACGTGGGCCATCTCCAGCACCCCCGGGCACCGGGTCAAGCTGGTAAGGGGACCCTCCCCACTCCTTATGTGGTGTGGCCACCCCTGGTCAGAGGCAATGCCCAGAGCCACACAGGCTGCAGAATGAGCCCAGAGGCCTGCTATCTCCAGGAGACCCCGTCTGGCCTGGACAGAGCCCCTTTCCCAGTATAAGTTAGGGGCATCCCTGCCTTTGCCCTATTCCTGGGCCCTCCTTCATTGTCATCCCCAGCTGTGGCCACTCCCATGGGTGTCCGTGAGGCCTAGGTTTGGGGCCCCCATCCTCACCCCACCTGCCCTCCAGGCAAATTTTTAATCTGTGCTCCTTCCTCATCCCCCTAGACCTTCATGGAGATGGACATCGAGTCCCAACCTGAGTGTGCCTACGACCACCTGGAGGTGTTCGACGGGCGAGATGCCAAGGCCCCCGTCCTCGGCCGCTTCTGTGGGAGCAAGAAGCCTGAGCCCATCCTGGCCACAGGCAGCCGCATGTTCCTGCGCTTCTACTCAGATAACTCGGTCCAGCGAAAGGGCTTCCAGGCTTCCCACGGCACAGGTGCTGTCATTGGTTGTGGGAGATTTTGCTGAGCCTGGTCTCTAAGACAGGGGTAGAGTAGGGGGTTACAAAGCAGGTATGAAGGCATAAAGGGACTGAGCCCTGTGGGGGTGTGGGTGATGCAAACATTGTGTCCTGAGAACCAGGCCTGGGAGGCAGGGATAGGAGGATGTGGTTAGGGATTAGGATGGCAGTGATTACGATGGGCAGGAGAGGTTAGGGAACTCAAGGACAGAGAGGAAAGCCCCCAGAGGTCCCCCTGAGAGCATGCTGGCCACTGCAGCAGCCCAGCCACACACCAACTCTGAAATATACTCTATTCATTCTCCGATATTTATTTATTTATTTATTTTTATTTTTATTTATTTTTTATTTTTTGAGATGGAGTCTTGCTTTGTTGCCCAGGCTGGAGTACAGTGCTTTGATCTTGGCTCACTACAACCTCCACTTCCTGGGTTCAAGTGATTCTCCTGCCTCAGCCTCCTGTGTAGCTGGGATTACAGGAGCCCGCCACCATGCCCAGCTAATTTTTATATTTTTAGTAGAGACAGGGTTTCGTCATGTTGGCCAGGCTGGTCTCAAACTTCTGACCTCAGGTGATCCTTAGCCTTGGCCTCCCAAAGTGCTGAGATTACAGGCGTGAGCCACCATGCCCAGCCTAGTCTCCTGATACTTATTGACATGTAGTATGGATGAGGCTGTATCCTAAATGCAGGTCCAACAAACAGACCAAGCAAAGATCCCAGCCCTCGAGGGGCTTGCTCGGCTTTCACTTGCTTATTTATTCAGCAGCCATGGACTGAGCTCCCCTCTGCGAGAGGACTGAGGGGCACGTGACCTGAATCAGGCATGAGCCCTTCACCCCTGCTCCCAACCCCATACTAGAAACTCACAGTCCAGGAGAGAGACAAGGCAGGCACCGCCCGTGACAGCATGAGTTCAAGCGGGAGCCAGGCAGGAAGAAAGGTACCCCGGCCTAACTGGGCATGAGCTAATAGAGGCATTCAAGGCAGGGGGAGGTACCCAGGCAGAGACACAACCCCAGCCCAAGCCCAGGGTGTGCCCAGGTGACAGCAGGTCATTTGGTTTGGCCGGAGCAACGGGTGTGTGAGGATCGCAGGTGGTGGGAATGATGTGGCTGTAGAGAAAGGCTGGAGCCCAGGGGGACGCCTTGAGTGCCAGACCCAGGATGCCACGAGGGAGCTTTGCAGTCTCCTCTTGGGTCCTGAGCCACCTGTCAGGGCATCCCCAGAGCTAATGGTCCACAGCTTCTCCTCTTCCCCTTCAACTCAGTCCCTGACCCAACCCGACCTGGCCCTCTCCCCAGCTCCTCTAGGCAGACCTGAGTGCCAGGTGCACAGAGGCCAGAGGGCCTGGGGAGGAGGGTGGCCCCATGCACTGTCCTCTGCCCCTCCCAGCACAGGGTCACAAACCGGAGGCCTGGAACTCCATCTGGCCCTCAGACCTGCTATGTTTGGCCCAGGCTGTGTTTTTTTTAAATGTGAGCCAACGCTTAAAAGGTAGGGGTTTTCATATAAAACCCAGATGTACGGCTTCTCTCCTGGAAATGGAAGCTGCGGCAACACTGGGCCCACATTCTTCCATGACAGCCGTCAGCTGGAGCAAATGAGCAATGTCCTCTTTAGACAAAGTGTGTGGTGCCTCGTGCCGCCACTCCACGCTGCCTTCCTCTCAGCGAGCCTCACCGCCTGTCCCTCTCAACCTAGGGCCGAGGTCCCTTTATTTAGAGATGGGGCAGCAGAGCACTGTTCTGGGCCAGACCCCCACCCACCCATCACTGGCCATGTGGCCTTCGTCTAGGCCTCCACCCTGCCGTGAGGATTCGGCATGGTGTGCCATGGAGCCTGGCACCTCCGGTGCTCAGGGCTGGTGGCCAATCTTGTCCTCTACAGAGTGCGGGGGCCAGGTACGGGCAGATGTGAAGACCAAGGACCTTTACTCCCACGCCCAGTTTGGCGACAACAACTACCCTGGGGGTGTGGACTGTGAGTGGGTCATTGTGGCCGAGGAAGGCTACGGCGTGGAGCTCGTGTTCCAGACCTTTGAGGTGGAGGAGGAGACTGACTGCGGCTACGACTACATGGAGCTCTTCGACGGCTACGACAGCACAGCCCCCAGGCTGGGGCGCTACTGTGGCTCAGGGGTGAGGCCCCTGCCCCTTGCCCTCCTGGCCCCATGCCCCACACTGTCCTCCACCCTTCTTGTCCCAATCCCCAAGACCTAGCGCCCACACAGGCCCCGGAAGTTGAGTGCAGCAAGCGCGTGGTGCTGCACCCAGAGGCCCAGCCTGGTTGGGGCTGCTCAAAGACACTGCCTCATCCCTGATCTAGGAAACCCAGTCCTTTCTGGGCAACCTAGAGGTTCCTATGGCCTCTGACCCAGGCCTGCTTCAGAACCAGTTGGCCAGGGCCTGCAAGGGATGGAGCTTCCCCTGTCCCTCCTTTCCTTACCCCTCCTCCAAGGCAGCCCACCAGGGCCTGAAATGGGGGGCAGAGGTTGGTACCAGAGCCTGGGACAGGGGGCCTGAGCGGAGTGGCCCTCACCAGTCCTTTTGCTGGAGCCATAAATACCCTTTTCATTTCCTCTGCCAATTTCTCCTCCTGGTGAGAGGCCAGCTTGTCCCAAAGCTCTTCCTGCTGCTGTCCCAGTGGCCCCTGGGCACTGCTTCTTGGTCCATAAAATGGCACATTCAGAGGCAATGAGCAAAAGTCTACTTGATGGGCTTTTACCTAAGGACATGAGCTAGCCTTATGCGAAGGATTTATTTTCCTCCCTGTAAGAGCTTGCAGCTTCTTTTTTTTTTTTTCTTGTCCTTTCCTGAGGATTTCAAAGAGACAGACTTTTCTTCCTACCCTTCTCTCTCTCTTCCCCCCCGCCACCCTCTCTCTCTCTGTCACACACACACACACACACACACACACACAGGCCCACCCGCTTGCATGCCCTTTGAAACACACTGTCCCTCCTGTCACCTCCCTGGCCCCCTGCCTATCCCGTGGCTGTGTCCCAGGCAGCCTGGGTGCCCCAGGAAGGGTTAAAGCTCCTGGAAGCTGCAGCAGCTGCTGGACCCAGCATTGGCCCAACCTTCCCCAGAAGCAGAGCTTCAGCCCTCGTGTGGCTGGCAGGGGCTGGGACAAGGTGGAGTCTGAAGCAGCTTGGCTGCCCTGGTGTCCCCTGGCTGCCAGGCTAGTGTCCCCTCCCCTCTTTGCTCTTTCTTCTGAATCACACACGAAATCGGATGTCCCCAGGTGTCTTCTTCCAGAGACCTCCCCCAGGCTGAGTCCACCAAAGGGACTTGGGGAAGGATCAAGGTCTCCTGGCACAACTACTGGGAATGTCCTCAAGGTTCTCAGAAATGATTTCTTCTGTGCCTGGAAGGCCAGGGTGTTGACGTCCGATGCTCTGCCGCCTGACCTCACTCAGTAGGCTTGCAGGAGGCATCTAAGAAGGGCCTGGGAGCAGACCTTGGCCAGGTGCCAGAGGAGAGGCAGGGCGAGGTGTAGGGACGGCAGAGTCCAGGTCTGGGGGACACTGTGCTTCTCCCCAAAACTTCCTCCACACTCCAGCAGAGATGTGGCCGTGCTGTCTTCCCTAAGAGTCCGCTGGGACGGCAGGAAGTCATGCCATTCAAAGAACCCCTCCCTTTGCAAAATACTTTGACATCAGTCCGGTCCTTTGCTCTTCCCTAGCACCCGTCCTAGGCATGGAGAGCAGAGAGCTTTTGCTCCTGTTTGTGGCTGAGGGAAGTGAGGCCCAGAGATGGGAGGTGGCTTGCCTGAGACTACACAACTCAGTTAGTAGTTATAGTAGAGCTGGGTTTACAGGAACTTAGTTCTCTTCAGCCCACGCCTTCTCCCCTCCCCAGGTTCCTCATTAAACTAGCAAGAAGCCCCCTGCTTCAAGGGGCGGGGAGAATCTGGTGGCTGCCCGGGAGCCTCCTGCCCCTCAGAGCCGGGGATCTTGGGGAGACAGGAGAGCAGCCCCAGCCCCTCTTCCTCCACCTTACCCCATCCCTTTTCTCTGCCAGCCTCCTGAGGAGGTGTACTCGGCGGGAGATTCTGTCCTGGTGAAGTTCCACTCAGATGACACCATCACCAAAAAAGGTTTCCACTTGCGATACACCAGCACCAAGTTCCAGGACACACTCCACAGCAGGAAGTGACCACTGCCTGAACAGGGGCGGGGACCGGAGCCTGCTGCCCTTGGTCACTTAGACTGGACAGTGGGGGTGGGCGGAAGGCGACGCACCATACCTCTCCCCCAGGCCCCAGGACCTGCCGGGCCAATGGCCCGGTGAGACTGTCCATAGGAGGTGGGGGGAACTGGACTCCGGCGTAAGCCACTTCCCCACAACCCCTCGACCAGCAAGGGGCTGGGGCCAGGGAGCAGAGCTTCCCCAAGACATTTCAAAGTCACCATTCCTCTCTTCGGGGGCTCTGCCTGGTGGCAAGAAGGAATGTCAGCAGGACCCCGTTGCCGTCCCTGTGTCTACACGCTGTATTGTGTATCGCCGGGGGCATTATCTTCATTGTAATGTTCATTTCCCACCCCTGCTCCAGCCTCGATTTGGTTTTATTTTGAGCCCCCACTACACCCCCCAGTTTCCTGGGGCACAAGTGTCTGTGTGTGTCCCCCAGGAGCCGCTGTGGGAAGCTGATGGGGAGGGGATGGAGGAACAAGACAGGGCTTCTCTCAGGCCCAGTGGCCGGTCAGCCACACCAGGGCACCACAGCCAATAAACCGAAAGTGTTACAGCCAATATCCTGTGCCAGATGCTGTCTGGGCCGTGGGGGCGGGGCTGTCATGTTCCAGATGTATGGGCTTGCTGTGGAGGCCGGCACGCGGCCAGGGCACCTGGCATCGTGGACTGCCCTTCCCTCCCCTGATCCCAGGCCCCCGAGGCTGTGATTTCACACTCAGGCACACATGTTCTCGCAGGCACCCATCACAGCGCGCACACACACCACATGCTCTGCTTGCGGTCCTCCCACATGAGGGGAGGGGTGGAACATTCCATAAAGAGGCTGTTTGGTAGGGAGGGAAGAAGGATGTGAAAGGGGTCAGGGGTGTCTGTCCGTCTGGGTTTTCTGTCTCTGCATCTGGGGAAGGTGCAGATGGGCTGCAAGGGTGTCCACCTAGGTGAGCAAACGGGGGCCAGAGAACCCACATCAGCTAGGACAGGTCCAGTTGGCCCCTGGTGCCTGCCTTCCTGCCAGTCAGATGCCAAGTGCCGCTCCCCATGGATCCCCCTGTCTTCGTGGAGACAAGAGCCAGAGCTCAGCAGCCACTGAGCAAACATCCCAGCTCTGGCCCCTCTTCCCAGGCGACCCAAAGCTATGTCTTGTCCGGCCTCCTCCTCCCTGCCATTGCCCACCCCGCTTCCCCATCCCAGACCTGTGCCTCCCAGAGGCCAGGAGGAGAAATCACGTCTCAGTTCCCTCTCTCCCCTCTTTCTACGTGGCTCTCAAAGGGAAAGAAAGCCCAGAGCAGCCCCAGCTCTTATGCCCGGGCTGGCTGCTCCCAGGGTCCAGAGAGAGCTAGGTGGCCTGCTGCAAGCCCCAGGGTTTCCTAGAGCCTTCAGTGGACTGGCAGGCTTTTCCTGGCTCCTTCCTGAGGCTGTGCCAGATGCTGTCTGGACCTGCAGGGGCCCCCACTCCCCGGAAGCAGCCTGGCATGGGGGACTCCATCTTGGCTCTTTAAGCAGAAGGTAGTAGTGGAAAGCAGGCATGCTGCGAGTGTCGAATGTGTACACAGGGCCCTCTTCTTCCAGGAAACCAGCCTGCTCTACTGCTCAGGCTGCAGCTGTCTCCTCCAGGCCTGACCACCAGTGTGGCCCCGGGGCCCTAAGAGAGAGCTAGAGGTGCCCAGAGGAGTTACTGCTTGTTGCGCCAGTAAAGTCACAGGCTGTGATGTCACAGCCTCTCCTCCCTGCTGCTTCTTCCTCTGAAAAGGAGGCTCAGGACAGCCTGGAGGGCCATGACAGAATGGAAGGATCCCTACACTTGTGCAGCTGCCTGGGCATCTCACCCAGACACTGCCCACCCACTTGGCATGAGCTCTGCCACGAAGTTGGTGGTCAGTGGCCATAGGTCTCCTTACCAGCCCTCTGGGTCCTTCAGAAGCTCCAAGGACCACAGTCCCAGCTCATAGGCCAGGGTCATAACCCTGTCCAGGCAGGGGCTCCAACCCACAGAGACACATTGGGTCCCCCCACCCCAAACAGGGTCCTTATGGACGGCAACCGCCAGCTAGAGGCAGGCTCAGGATAACCCATGCAGCTACCTGGGCACACGACTCAACACTCCATCACCCACAAACACAGGTTCCTCCAGCAACTCAAGAACCCGCCCAGCGAGCCCTCCAGACATTCCATAGGCCCCTCTTCAGAGGTAGGCAAGGGGCTGTAGTGCCCTAGGTCGAGGGAAGGCCCAGCCAGGAGAACTTTGGCACAGAGTATCTTGGAGACCACCCACACCGAAACTGACGCAGTGCAGGAGCCCCAGCCACAGTGGGCGCTCCCAACCCACCCCACGGAGTGAACAAAGATTTTGAAGACCACCAAGGAGGTCCACACGGCAGTTTCAGATCCTCTGCCCTGGTCAGCCAAGAAGCAGGGGTACAGGCCTGTCTGGATGCCCAGATGTCCACCCCCAAGGGCTTGCAATCGGGCAGGAGGCAGCCCAAAGCAAGGATAAGGGCATCCATTTGATAGAGAGGGAGGAGAGGGGAGGACGAAGAGGAAGAGGACAGGGAGGAAGAGGAGGAACACTCAGAGGACGGAGGCTGGAGAGTTCTGAGGAAGACAAGATGGTGGCTGGAGAGGAGGAGGCGGGGAGAAAGGAGGGAGAGGATGGAGAGGAAGAGGAGGAAGTGGAGGAGGAGCAAGGATCTGCCTCCTCAGGTGACGGAAGCCCCTCAGGCGCTGGTTGCAGGCCACTGATGCGTATTTCAGAATCTGATAAATTGATGCATTCTGCGGGCCCAGCCTACCCTCACCTTCTAGCTGCCTAGGGTTCTAGACGAGCCCCCCACCCCCACCCAGTGCAGCTGCCCCTCTGCGCAGGTGATTCCATGGTAGAGGAAGGTACACTTGCTCCTCCTGTGTCCAGCACCTGAGGTCCCCTGGGGGCTTAGCTGAGGTCCCCCAGAGTCCTGCACTCTTGATAAGCATTCACATGGGAAAAGCCAGCATGCAGCTGCCCCGACCCTACACTCCCAGCCCCAGTAGCCAGGTCAAGGTAAGCACATCCCTGGGAGCTTCAGACTTTCTGGAGCCCTCGGCCAAGAGGGCAGCATGAGCCTGGCAGTCAGGAGACCTGGCTCTGCCATGCTTAGCTCGGTGACACTGGCCCGCTGCCCCCTCCCTGGTCCTCTGCTCCCTAAACCTATCACCTGTCCCCAGCACCCTTCCTGCCATGTCCTGAGAGACAGATTTGAAAATCCAACGTCTTGTCTCCGAAGCAGTCAGAGGGCAGGGCACCAGGCAACTGAAGTGACTGGAACCCTCAGCAGAGATGTGGCAGCTTCCAGGGACAAGTGTTGGCTCAGCTGTAAAACAAGGAAAGTTGAGTGCCTGGCTCTGTCCCTCACTCCCTTTTTCTCTTTTTCCCTGCCCCTCCCTCTAACCCTACAGGATCCCCAGTAGTAAAAAGGTGACAAGCTTGAGAGCAAACAAAACCCATTTTGAACACCAGCTCCACCATTTGGTGGCTATGCGACCCTGGATGAGTCACTTCTTTGAACCTCAGGTTCTTCAGTGTGGGGTGATATGGTTGTGAAGGAATGAGGCCAAGCACAGTGGCTCATGCCTGTAATCCCAAATGCTTTGGGAATCTAAGGTGGGAGGATCACTTGAGCCCAGGAGTTTGAGACTAGTCGGACCCTGTCTCTACAAAAAATGTTTAAAAAATTATCTGGGAGTGGTGGTGCATGCCTGTAGTCCTAGCTATGCAGGAGGCTGACGTGGGAGGATTGCTTGAGCTGGGAGGTTGAGGCTGCAGTGGGCTGAGATCACACCACTGCACTCCAGTCTGAGTGACAGGAAAAACAAGGATTGAGATAACCTTTGAAGAGAGCCGGTCATGGTGCCTGGCAAAGAGGGGGCTCTTAATAAATGGGCCTGCTTTTCCTTTCCTCTGCTAGCTCCCAGACAACTCTACTCCTGTGCTAAAAGGAAACGTTCAGGTACAAAAGTAGTTTCCAGGCAGGCACTAGGAGCTTAGTGTAGAATTCCCCCTGCCGGAGGGGCAACGCTGAGCCCACAGCAAGGAGGGGGCTGCAGGGCAGCAAGGGACATATTTCTGGCGAGCTGGTGGCCCTTTCTGGGCACCTCCCAAGTCACACCCTGTACTCGACTGTCTCTACGCACAAGGCTGATTCTAGGATCTGTGAAAAGATCTGTTGCTCCAGTTTGCAAAAATAGTAATGCCTGACTTGGAGAGTGAGGGACAAGGCAGCCAGATGTCTTCCCCGGAGAACCCTGAGCCCCCAGCCCAGCCTCCCGCCAACCAGAGCTGCCGCCTCTGCTGCCCCAGCCCCCTCCATCCCACACCCTCCCTTCCCCCATCCCTTGAACATCTGGTTTCAATCTGCTCCAGATGTTGTGGCCAAGCTGTTTTATGGCCAATCACCTCAGCTCCGCTTCCTGAAGGCCTCCCTCCACTTCGGGGAATGGACCCTCCTCATCCCCTTCCTTGGGACCCCAGCCACCTCTTTCCTAGCATGGAGAAGAGACACATACAGAAGCCGAACGGAACTGCTAGCGTCCTCAGAGCGGGTGCCTCCCCTCCCTCCACTTTGTGGGATGCCCAGGGTTAAAAGGAAAGATGCTGGTCCAGGGACAGAGGAACGGCAGTCAAGGGTGGGTGTGCACCCGAGAAGAGGAGTTTCGGTTGTGAGTTGTGTGTGTCGGGGACCAAGCGTGTGCCACCATGTGTTTGTGTCAGGTATGTCTGTGTGTTTGTGCCTGCACAGCAGAACCCCTCACCTGGAATCTGAAGCCTCCCCTTGTGGCTGCCATCTTCTTTTCCCTGGCTGCCTGCACTGCCAGACAGAGCTAATTCAGGGCCCCTCAGCAGGGCAGTGGCAGCTATGGGTTCAGGGTAGTCCCTCACCTGGGAGCTGTCTGTGCCTTCTAGGCTGTCCTCTAAATCCAGCCCAGGGAGGGTACGTGTGTAGGGGTGTGTGTGTGTGTGCACTGGCACGTGGACCTCTCTCCCTCCACCAAGTCAGAGCAGGCCAGAAAGGATCCCAGGGTGGACTCCAGCGGACCTTCTGACCCAGCTCTGTCTGACTGGTGCTTCGAGCAAGTATGGCGGGGTTGGCTGTACGCCGGGACTTGCCATCTGGACAGAGGAAGGAGAAGCAGAAGGCTCTCCGAAGGAACCTGCCTGGGGACCCCCACAACCCTACCTCCATTCTGCCTTCATGCTCCACTATGAGGTCTCTGGGAGCCAATCTCTCCTCCCAAGAAACCCAAAAGGGTTCACAAAAGGAAGACTGGAGCCTGACCCTCTGGAGGACTGAAACCCTCTCAGCTGGGAGTGGAGAATCCTATGCGGGCCCGCCCAGAGGCAGAAGGGTTGATCCGGAGTCACTCCATCCTCAGAATGCTGGATTTGAGCTACTGCCCTCTACTCCCTTTGTTTTTCAAAACTTGGAGTCTCACTCTGTGACCCAAGCTGGACTGCAGTGGCATGATCATAGCTTACTGCAGCCTTGAACTCCTGGGCTCAAGTGATCCTCCCACGTCAGCCTCCC